CTTAGTGCTTGTGCAACTATAAATGCCCTTTCTCAGGGTTCACAGATTCATACTCTCTCTCTAAAAACCAGTTATGGATCTTATATATACATTTCCAATGCATTCTTGGACATGTATGCAAAATGCAAGAGTTTAGATGAGGCCTGCAAGGTCTTTGGCAAAATGGTTTACAGGGATTCTATCTCGTGGAATGCTATAAACACAACTTACAAACAAAATGGAGATAATTTGGAGACACTTTCACACTACAACCTGATGCTTTCTTATGCCATGACGCCCGATAAATGGAAGTGTTCTTAAGCCCTATGAATGGATGTGTTCTTAAGGCCCGCTCTGGGCTTCACGGAGAGGTTTGGGGAACCACGGGGGAGAGAGAGAGAGAGTTAGGAGAAATATGAAGAGAGAGAGAGAGAGGAGTTTGGAAAGAATCATGAGGGAGAAAGAATTAAGAGAGAAAAAAGTGTGGGGAATGTCACAGTTAAGTGAGAGAAATGATACATATCTTTTTAAGCTTTGTTTAGGTAAAAAAATAGGATAAAAGTATGTAAAGGTGATGTAGGGGGTTAGAAGATATAATATTTGGGATATATATGATTTAATATATGTTTTGAAATCTTAAATTTAATGATAAATAAAACTTAAAAACAGGAGGTACAGATATATTTTCCCTATTATCTATGGGCATTCAATAAAGAGAACTACGGCAAATGACGGGACTTAATTACCAACCAACTGAGTAAAGTAAAAATAAATACAAATAATATGTAAAACATGTAAAAACATCAATCTTAAAAAAAGAGGTATCCCATAATGACTTAAGGACGAAGCTCTTTTCGAGAAGGGGCAGATGATGCCGCCATTATTCGAGGACTATAAACTTATTTGTAGTGTCATCGTACTTCAAATTGTGATTCAAAGATCTCAATTAGCTACAAAGGCTGTTTTAGGGTTTTAGACGTTAAGTCTTCGTTGACAATTTAAGTCTAATTAGATATTTTTGTATTTATTAATTATTAAAAATATTTTAAAATTTTAAATATTCAATTGGATCTCAAGATAATTTTAGGATTTCATACGTTTATAAATAGACTATTATATATCCACTGTAAAAAGAATGCGAAATTTTATTGAAAATGTGGTGGAACTTTTACAACTTTTTAAGTTCTAATGCTGTGATGCTCGATTAATGGTTGTTGTGTTATCCCCTCAAAACTTTTCTCACTTTCTTCAATTCTCCGTGTGTCAACCCTTTGACTGGGTTTTTATTTGCTCCTATTTTCTTTTAAAATTTTTGGTGGAAAAGTCCAAAACCATTAATGGGTCTATAATGGCGTTCATGTATAACTCACAATCCAACTTATAGTAGACAGCGAGTGGTTGTTTCGTCTGTGATTCGGCTTTTGTTTGCCAAAATTGTGTTTCCATAAAGAAACGAAATGAGTATGACTCCAAACAAAACCAGAGGATGATATCATAAATAACGAAATAGTCCAAAATTTTATTAATATATATCAGATTCGGGAGGAGTTCCAGACACCTATAATGTAACCTGTTTCTTTTACTGTGAGGAAAATTAATAGAGAGAAAAATTAAATATTTTGTGATTCTTCTATATACCATAAGTTTCTAAAATAAAAAATTAATAAAAAAACGTTTCACTTTCTACGTATTCCCGCTCTCTCTCTACACACTATGCACTCTCCCTCTGTTCCTCCTCTAGTACTCTCTCTCTCATCCTTCCTTGCTCTTCTTCCCTCTTCTCTCCCTATATCCCCTCTCCCGCCTTCTTTCCATCTCCTCCTCCCTCTCTACCCTTAATATACATTATTTTAGAGGTAATGAAATTCGAATTTTAAAGAGATTCTCGAACTCATGATTCTCTTATACTTTTTTTAAAATTATCTGCAATATTAGTCTTCAATTTTAAATCAATACAAATAAAAAAGTATGTTATAGCCACAATTTTGAGAGTATGGTTTTTGTCACCACCACTAAATGGTGTAATGGTGTAAACAAACTCGCAAGATCCACATGAAATCAAACATTTGAGCACCATTTGGTTTCCCAACCAAATTGCCATTTAAGCTTATCTGGAAATTTCTCACCATCCATTTTAGCACCAATAACTAGCACCAATAACTAATTGATGTTGATGTTACTATTATTGTTTTGGAAAAGCATAACCATTACTTTTATTACAAGGTGGTCACAATTAATCTTGACCATTGGATTTACTTTTGTTACAAAATGGTCACAATTAATATTGACAATTGGATGTGAAATTGAGTGACTGCATTTATTTTATTGACCAAGTTTAAAATTCAAAAAAAAATTTCTCGAACTTTATAACACACCCAAGCTATCAGATTTCACATCGGATGGTTACAAATAATTATAACCTCCATATACTAAAGGCAAATGGTCTCTTTGTATACAATCCCTATTGTTTTCATAGGCAAAAAAGGTGAGATAAGAACGCCCCTTGGACCCCAAAGCCAATAATCCAATTCCCAATATTAATTTATGAGCACATATACTCCCTCGAGAGCATAATTTACTTCTACTCCCTCGGTCTAAAAGACCTACCAAGGAGATTTTTTTCAATCTAAAAATATTTTTTTAAAAAAATTGAAATTTGAATTTTTTTCACACTTAAATCTCACCTTCCAAAAATTGGACAATTTCTATTCAATCATGCGACATTGTTTTTTTCAAGTGCTTATAAGGTGCACTTAGGATTTTCTTTCTTTTATTGAGATTAATCTATATGTTAAACAGGCTATATCCCAAAAAATTGAGTTTCTAAAACTAATCATAGTAGAATATCTTTTAGCTTAGTTTATTACTTCACCACAAAAACTTGTACTTGTTTTACTTGAAAGTTATTATTCTCATCCGTCTTCCCCGGTGGCATAACTTCTGATTCTTTTTTTTGAACTTCAGTTGAGACAAATCTGGACCCATAACCATCCCTTCAATCTGGCATGTCATATGTTTGACCTGTCTTTTTGGATCTGTTTTTGTTTTGGACCAAAACAGAATCAATGCCCTTTTTGTTAACTGATATATTGCCATTACATATATTTCTACACATGGTTGGGATCAAGCAAGGTATCCGTCTCTCTTTTTCAGGATTCCCCAAAACCAAATGCATAATTATGCGAGAGGAATTTCCATCAAGTGAAGGAAATAATCCACCAAACATTTAGTTATTATAACATAGGGCAGAAGAGAAAAAGGGAAACTGCATTTAAGCCACCTTCCAAGCAATGGGATGAGATGAGCTTATACTTTTTTGTGTTTCATTTTTTTTCTTTTTTCCCTGTTATTGGCAACCATGGAAAAACTCTCATCAATTCGTTTATGTAAAGGTGCTGCTCATTTCTTCACATGGATTAAGAATACAAAAAGAATATGATTCATCCTTCCGCATGCCAACCCTTAGGAGATGATTGCATCTTAACAAGAAAACCATAAAGAAGGAACCACCTCTCATTTATTAGCCTCGATAAATTCCCGGTATTCCTTCTTCATTTTCACTCCGGATACGGTCCTGTACAGGAATATACAGCCCATGGGGGGTGAATAATAGAACATAAAAGAAATTTGGCATGTTATGTGAAATCAACCACCTCTTTGAAGGTGGCTTTTGCAAGTGGCCACTCATATGCTAAAGGTTTAATGAAAATATAAAAACCCATTTTTTGTGATGTTTTTGACACAAAGTATGGAGGACTTACCCCTCAGAGGATTACAGACATTTACATAAAATGTCGGTCCTACTTTCACAAGAGGATCAAAGCACGTGCAAGCACAAGCCCAAACTGGAATATACAGCCTCTGGGGGGTGAATAATAGAACACAAAAAGAAATTTGGCATGTTATGTGAAATCAACCATCTCTTTGAAGGTGGCTTTTGCAAGTGGCCACTCATATGCTAAAGGTTTAATGAACATATAAAAACCCATTTGACTCAAAGTATGGAGGACTTACCCCTCAGAGGATTACAGACATTTACATAAAATGTCGGTCCTACTTTCACAAGAGGATCAAAGCGCGCAAGCACAAGCCCAAACTGTAAGGTTTGACGAGAAATCTCAAAGGGAAGATAACCTCAGGCAATTGCCTCTAGCACCTAGGTGCAGCTAGACTATCATCACACCCTGCTTGCCTAAAGGGTTAAGAAAGACAAGGAGACCTAAACTATTGGGTCCTAATAAATTACGTGGCACATTTGTGCCACAAGAACAGGAAAAGAGGAAGAATAGATCTCTAGAAATGGTGATTAAGGATATGGGCCTATTGCAAAGAACTTTGTGGAAAATATATGTAGAAACCATTTTTACTTGTCATGAGACAAATAATGAGTAGGGGTGATTTGGTTCAAGTGGAAAGCTCTAAAACAACAAGGGAAAGGCCCCAATGAACATGGATTAAAGTAGTGAGAAAAGATATGGTGACTTTGGTTTGACTGAGAAAAGATATGATGACTTATGTAGCACAAACATGCTAGCAAAAACCAAATCAGCTTGCTTGAAACACAATACGGAATAAAACAAAAACCAAACAACAAACCTGAGCATTTCTTTGTTCTTAAAGAATTGCACGCATGGGGTGCCCATAATCCCTGCTGCTTCAGCAATTTCTGGATCCTCTTCAATATCAATTTCTATGTAGTGTACATTCGGGTCAAATTCATCAATTACCTGGCCAAGCAATAACATTAATTTCCATCAAAACCAGAGTTATTGCCCCTTCAAATTTATTACTTTGTTCATGAGGCACAAATGAGGTACATTAACAACCACGTTAACATAAGGGATGTTCAAATGCATTAAAAAGCAAAAAGCCACCATCTTAGGCTCTAGATAACCAAGTAAAGTTGAGTCTTCTTTCTTTGTAGATGAAATAGGCACTCAATTTAGGCATAGTCACCAACCAAGTAACCGAGGATTGACATGATAGAAACATTATGTCATGCTATTTAAAATCCATCTTAGGTACACAGACTTACTGAATTTCCTGAGCTTTAGCTCATGTCAATAAGATTCAAAGAGAAGACAAATAAAATACACCTTTTTTATTGCTTCAGTTTCCATTTCATAAGAGTAACTCAAGATAGATAAATGATTCATGCCACATAGGCAAGTCCTTTCTTTTCAGCATCAAACCCGACAATTAGAAGACCATGGGGCATGCCTTCTGAGGAATAGGCAATTGATGGCAGATCATGCCACTACATGTCGCTTCTGCAGCTCTAACAGATAAAGTAAATGCAACCACTTTATAACTGAGATATCAAAGGATATGCTTTTTGTTCCATCCAAATTGGATGTTCTTGGAGAATTCATGCATAATTGATATCTATTCCAGCAAAAGTAATGTACCGATGGATCCCTGTGATGCATCTATATTTTGTAGGATAAGTCAACGAACTCTCGTCATCAACTTCATCTGCATGTAGTCAGTGAGATGTGACCAAAGATGATCCCCTAAGAGCTAACGAATTACAGAAGACCCATCTGTTTGTTTTTATCTTGGAAAATCCATTAGCATCCTATGAGGTGTATTCCTATCATTAGGGGACACATCCAAATTTTCAACTGAAAAAGAGAATGCATCTTGTCTAGTACCAACATTTCTCCAAATATTACAAGGTGTTACATACTCATCCAAATAAGATTATGGCAAAACATTGTTGAACTTCCTATTTGATAAAAAGTCAATGTCCTCAACTTCCACTGAACTTTTGCAGATCAAGGCTCTCAATAAACTCATGGGCTAGAGAGATCTTTCCTCGTGAAAATTTATTGTACAAGTCCTCATGTTTCCTGAGAAAATAGAACATACCAAGCTTGACTCTCAATTTTTCAAAGAAAGAATATTATAAGGGTTAGAATATTATAAGGGTTTATAAGTGAAAATCCCAGACAAGCAGAATGATATGTTTACCGAGTCCCAACGAAATGATACGTAATGTCATCTCATGGGGCCAATACAGAACAGTTTCTTTCTCTCCAGAGTTCTGTAGAAGTTATACAATGACAAGGTATCTGAATGGATGTCATGAAAATTTTCCCAGAAGTTATACAATGAGAAGGTATCTGGATAGACATGTAATGCAAATCTCTCTAGAAGCTATACAATGAGAAGGTATCTGGATAGATATGTAATGCAAATCTCCCCCCCTCTCTCACACACACGCACACATTTAGTAGTGAAACACAACCTGGATTTCTGCTTGTCAAAGAAATGCCACTAAAACGCCAATAGGGAAGGATTCCATATATATATATATATATATATATATATATATATATATATAACGAACTAACAAAC